CGTTCATGCAGACACCAGCAAGCACATGTACTGCTGTTACCCCTGCCTTCTGCACAGATGTTGGAATCTGCTCCTGTAGATTAGAAGCAGTCTGGGAGCATTCCTTGACCTTCTTTGCAAAGGCAAGTTTGCAAACTGGAAAACTAGGAAAGTTGCCAAGGTCAGTGCAACCTAACTACAAAAGAGCCTGACTGCCCAGCTGAGGTTCTAGCATAAAACTGATAAACGAGTGTGTGTTTGCACTCCTAGTTCATCCATTAGATAATTAGCTATGGTTGTTTAGAGGTTGCCAAGAATGCAGGGGCAGCTCTTACTAACCAAAACAGAAGAATAAACAGTTTCGTTTACCTCTGACACCCTGGATACTTTTTAGGAAACAATCCATGGGACAATTTCCTGCAAAAAAAACACTCTTTGCGTAACATTCTCCATCTGTCTTACACTCGCTAAACAATCTACTAATGGAAAACCAGCACACATAGCTCTGTGACATGATAGAAGAATATCTCAGCTTGCTAAATTAAGGAGTTGGCAACCCAATGCTTGCCGTGGGACAACATCAGTCTGTGCTTGCAGTGATGCAGCAGTCTGATCCATTTGTAACCTGAATGCACATTTGGTAAGAGTTGGATAAAGTGGAAGCAGATACTTAATGTGTGCTCATAGTGCAGCTACCAAGGGAAGAGATTCATGGAAGTTAAGGTGAAGTTCATATGGAAGTTAAGCTGGAAGTTAAGAATCCCTCCTGCTTTTGATTTCCTGAACATGCTTTGGAAAGCAGAGAACTGGTTCTGGACAAGCCAAGTCAGACAGGCAACCCACTGCATTATACTGGGTTTAGCTTTATATAAATGTAAATAAATAAATATTATACATATATATATATATTTATCTATATGGCATAGGAAGGGCAAGATGGGGTAAAGAAAATATGTCACACAGACACTTTGGTTTTGTCCTTCAAACACAGAGTGTGAAAGGCTATCAGTGTAATTCCTACCTGCTCATAGGAATTCACAGGTCTAAACCTGAAAGTCTGGCTATGTTTCTTGTTCATGCACCATCCTCAGCAACATTAGAAGCCACTGCAGCTACACTGATTTTGGAGAAGACCCTCAGCTGCACCTATAAATCTGACTGTTGCCTAGGGTAGCAGACAGAGCAACGGATCTGTTAACGTTATGTTAGGTGCTTTAATTTGTGCATTTCATATCATCATGGGGGTTTTCTATATCTGCAACAGCAGGAACTAGTCTGATACTTCTTCAAAAGAAAAGGTGTTGCTTCTGCCACATTTGCAGCTGCAGTGTGCAGCATGAAGATGAAATAAATGAAACGTAAAAAGAAAAAAAGAGATGTGCAGTGAAGAACAAATGACCATAATCATCCAAGCAACACAAAATCAGTAGGAAAAGCTGTGTTTTAGTGCCATCTTGTGGGTCCGGGGCACAACCACGACAAAAAAGACAAAGCTCTTCCAGCCAGAGTGTAACCCACCTAATGTCATCCTGGGTTGTAGCATGGGAAACTTCCATCAGACAATAATACTGAAGATAGAGCAGACACAAGTTAAAAGCCTGATACACTATATGAGGTGCACTTCTTTCTGAGTTACAGTCACTGCAGCTAACAAGAACTGGGGGAGAGGAGCCTGAGAATCCCTGATCGTTTGACACATCTGAACAGAAGCCAGGCTACAAAGCAGGTGCAAGGGATGAGCAATAAGTCTGCCCAAATGCTTAGTTGCACCTCAGCAAGTAGATTTCTGCCAGCCCCATTAGAGGTGTACTTTGCTCTGATAGGCTCACGTGCTGTTAAAGCGCCTGAAGCGTCAGGAGGCAAACTATTGGTTACACGCAGGACTTCAGTAAGGGGCACCTAGCTGAGCATAAGGTTTCCTCTGAAGTGGGATACTGAGTGTAGGAGCTGGGAGAAGCCCAGCTTCTTCCCACCTTTAGGCACTATCCCAGGCTCTTTGGAGTTGGAGACTTCTTCCAGATGCAGCTTCTAAGTCAAAGGTGAGCATGTATTGTGGCACATAAAAAGGCAGTCTACTTTCTGGCCTGATTTGGCTGCTGGGGGTCAAGAGAAAGGAGGCAGGGAGAAAAACAAAGGCAAAGTCATCAGTGGCAGCAACAGGGCTGATCTCAAGAGTTGCACGGGAGGGATAACGCTATTGTCCTGGGGGTTGTTTCACATATCTCCCCTGGGTGTTTGGCATGAGCACCTCTTGTGTTCAAGCCTATGTGGATGGGAGGGAGTGGATGCAATGGAGAGGCCAAGGATGGGAGGACAGTAACGGAGGGTGAGAGGAGCACAGGGGATTGTGCTGGGAATCAAAATGCTTCACCTGGCTACAAGCACCCATCCTTCAGTTGTGTTCAGATCTTCAGGTGAAACCTTGACTTTCTTCCATGGAGTTACTTGATATGATCATGCAAATCTTGAGACCAGCAGTAGCCTGATTTCCTACATGTCTTTTATCTTCTTACATGTCTGTGACTTTAACCTAGGATCATATCCATTTCTAAGATGTACTGTATTGCAGTAGTGGTAGATTCCAGGAGTTAGAGTTTGATATAGAATTGTTGTTGCATAAATCTACCAGGGGTTGACACATCTCCAGTCAAAATAGAGGGCTGAGATGGCTGGATGGCAGATTTCAGAAAACAAAGAATCCACCACATCTCTCAGTGTGTTGTTTCAGTGGCTAAACGCTCTCGCAGTCAAAAAACAGATGCGCTGTATTTCCGATCTCAAAATGTCTAGGTCTGTTTCATGTTTTTGGTCTTCTTATGTCTTTGCTTATGTTTTAATCTGTCTTTGCTAGGTAAGACAGTTGCTAACGGTCAGGAATTTTTTTTCTATATGTAAGCACAATATTGGTTCATTGCACGCTTACAAAACTCCTTCTATATAGGCACAGAACTACAGTAAGAGCTTCTAAAATTTCTTAGGTGCATTTGATTTTGGGGAGGAGCCTACCATTGTCCATAGAAATCTCTTATTCTTTTCTAACACTGTCAGTTCCCATGGTTACTCCATTTCATGCATAGTGTCTTTCAGCTTCCCTACCTGCAGCGTCCGCATATCCCAGCTGTTTAGCTCCCACCTGCTCACACATGTATCTGTGAAAAACAAGCTCTTTTGCTGAAAAAAGCAGGCTAGAACATTCTCTTTTTTTGGTTCTGCCTCTAGTTCTCCTGTTCTCTCTAGTTCTCATACTTTGCTCTTCCCTCACTTTTACTTAACTCCAAGTTCTCTCTTGTCCTCTCCAAAAATATTCTCATTCTCTCATTTCTCCTCTTTCTGATCTACCCTTTGGTTCTTACCTCCAGTGTTCTTCTCTTTCAGCTCTGTACTGTTCTCCTGTATGGCCAGTTCTTCCAGCTGCTGCTATAGTTTCTCGGCCTGGCTACCAATTTTAGAAGAAGCAAATGCTAATGTTTGCACACAACTTAAAAGTAACACATCATCTGAGTAAGTATTTATTTCCTTAACAAGTAGATGAGTTTGAGAAAAATGAATCTGAACATACTGATAAAGGAAGCATGTTGCACAAAGCAGACTCTTAACCTGATGTATGTTATCAGTCTAGTACATAACATAAGTCAGTGTGCAGTGGTTAGCAGATGCAGAATAACTAAACTGTGCAGTTTCTTGGCAAATGTGTGTGCATTTGAAATGCTGTATTTACATGTGCATTCATACAATGAAGGCATCCCAACTGAAAGACCTCAGTCCTTTGTGAGAGTAAAATTTCCACCACATACAATGTTACAGCAGGATCCAGATTCAGTTCTATGGGAGCAGAGGCATTCTTGTGTCTATTTTGTCATAAAGCTTATATACTTCAGGAAACTACACTGAAAACAGAATATTAACAACACAGTCATAACCTTATTTTGGCAGTTGTTCACTCACTGAAAATCTGGGTCTGTTTTTAGTGCTATTTAACACGACTCCAACTTACAGGAGTACACATCTTCCATCTCTTAACATTGATCTTTGCTTGAGTAGAGCATGTTCTGTTGTTACATAGAATGTAACATAAAATGCTTTCCCTGTAGAAGTAAGCTCCTGCTTAGAACAAGAAGTAACTATCAAAATCAGTGAATTTCATCAAAAATATTAGGCCACCATTTATTTCTCTCTCAATTTTGTCTTTGTTAATATCTGGGCTTGCAGCCACCTGGAGCAAAATGCAGAACATGAAATTGAATGCAGTTGAATGGAAGTATTTTGGCACAACAGCCAATACAAATGATGATGCAAGGCTGCCAGGATACAGAAGTAGGTGTCTTACAGACTTACATGCCAGAGAAAAAGTAGACTTATAGGTATCACTCTGGCATAAATGGCTAGTACTCTCTCTTCACTTTAAATTTAGTCCTTCCCCATGAAGAGAATGCAAAACCACCAACTCTTTCAGCTACACTACCATGTAGGAAAAAGAGCTGGAGAACTGAAGTTGTGTATGTGTGTAAATGTATATATATATATATATATATGTAAAGTAATAACTAGAAAAGAGATTATAAATAACAAAGCTGTGCTTGTCAGCTGCATATCGAACTGCTGGATAAAAGCTTCTCATATTAGTGGGGGAAGAACTGTAAATAACTTCATAAAAAGCATAATCCTTTACTAACCCTGTCATGGTATGGTCACTCTCCCAGTGAACCCACTGCCAACAGTGAAATGTGCACCTGGCAATCCTAATACCGTATGTCAGGATCTGTGCTAAGATATGTTAATTTAAGTGATCAAGGATTAACAACTTTGCCAACAGGTGCACCTTCGTGTGGACTCTATACTTCAGCCAAGCATTTACTCACAAAATGTCTGTTAATAGAAAGCATTGATGAAAAAAGCAGACAGTAGCTTCACGCAGTTGGCAAATCTCTTCCCTTTCCAATTCTAACTGATATGGAACGTGTGTGCTAGAGTACAATAGCATCTAAATTCTGATTGAAAATGCTGGGGATATACGCAAAACTTCCAGTGAAGATAATGACTGCTGTAAGAGGGCTAGCTGTTGTCAGGAATGGGATCTTTGGTATCCAGTAGCACACAAAAGCCTTGTTCCTGATCTTGTGTATACTAACTTGATCTGAAGAAATTCGTCTGATTAATGTAGCGGAGAACAGAACCTACCCTAGAGCTGCTGTTTTTCTTGAATAGTCGCTGACTGTTTGTCATAAACTTCAAAAGGAACAAAACTAGGCCAATTTCATTTTTAAAACCTTCCTCAGTGTGTGTTGGTATGATATTTTAAAAGAAAAGCCACGTACAGAGAAGAGTTCCTGTGCTAGAAAGTATTACTAGCTAACAAAGGCCTGTTTATGTGAAAGATGTGTCTAGCTGTTAGCATGCTGTAGCGCATAACCATTGGTATACATGTAATTATTGTAACTTATCCAGTCATCTGCACACTGATATTCTTGATTAGACTGAATGTACGGATGATAAACTGTTTCTTTTCCCAAGAAATAAGATGGAGCAAGTCTCTGTAAAACAACTGCACTGAACTGGTATGTCAGCTTCCTTCGAATTTTAATGATTTCACCTGTTCTTCCATAATTCCTCAGTGCTCTGGCCATTTTCTGATATGTCATGATCTTGCGGTTTCCTTTTCTTTCTCCCCACAGCTCTGCAAGTTTCTCCTTGTTTTTGGAGACAAACTGGAAGACACCATTGGGCTTATCCACCCATTGGATGCAGTTTGCCATAGCTGGATCATACAGAGACTCATGGAGGTACTCAAACAGTCGAAGTTTTTTCCTACCTGTTAAGAAATAAAGTACAAAAGGTCAGAACAGAACTCACACTTGTTTTGAAAGATAAACAGTTGCCCTTCTCCTGGAAAGGATCTTAAAGACAAAGCGTAGGTAAACCTAATACCCTGCCACAAAACAAAAAATCAGTATAAACAATTCAACAAAAGACCAGCAACAGATTTAATGGGGTGATAGTTTTGAAATATGCACAGTTTGACAGAAAAAGATCTGGTCATTAGATTTTCCAGAGCAAGTTATTTGGGAATTATGACAAATATTTAGTGACTTCACTGCTTGGTAGCTCTCAGAAGCCACTTTCAGCAGTCTTCAGATAGGTATTGGCCAGGCACACGGTCAAAGAAGCTATTACGGGAACTTACAGTTTCAGGCAGTGCAGTAAAGAGGTTCTGGAGAGCCAATCTGAATGTTTTCTAATAAATGCTTTCCCTTTTTAATCAAAACTCAAAGATTTTGGAGATGAATTGATTTTGTCCAGATTTATTTCAGGAAAGTTTCTGGGATGCAAGGTAGTCTCGCTTAACTTAAGAAGCGAGGGGATGAGTGAGCAGGAAGAGTAAGATAGTTTTGAATTAGAAACCTTACCTAGTCAATAAGGAAATAGATCTTCTGGCATACTGTATTTTATAAAAAAAATCAGAAGTGTGAATTTTCATTTCAATGCAGAATAAAAGCAAGCTTCAGTACTACAACATTTGTCAGTTAACTGAATTATTCTCCTCCCCACAGCTTCAGATCTCAAACTTAAGTCTACCGATAGGGCTTACTTAGTTGCACTTAGGTTTAGTGGATCCATCTCTCTGAAGCGCTTCAAGTTTCCTTCACAAAGCCAAGGGTGACCAAGCAGCTGGCATATGGAGGAAGAACTGAAAATTATGAGACAAAGAGGAACATTTTGGAGAAAGCAGAGTCTATGCAGAAGAACATCTTCCACTTTAATCAAAGTGGAAACAAGCAGCTGCATCTAAAGATCATAAGATCTTGTCTTGCATGGCTATTTTAAACTAGGAGCTGGGGAAAAATGACAGTTGCTAAGGAGCACTGAGGTCAAGCCAAGACATCTGTTAGGGATGACCGTAACCCTGCATCTGGTGATAAGGAAATAGGAGAGAAGTGACAGCCAAACTAGGAAGAAGAAGAAATCAGAGGTACTTTCCAAAAAAGTAATAAAGTGTCAGGAGCTAAATAAAAATTGGTCTGTGGCTAGAAGAACATATTCTAGTAGAAATATATAAAAGACTATGAAAATGAGAAGCTAAAAAGCAAACAGGTGAAGGATGTTGCCTGGTCACGGTAAGCACTTCTGAATCATGGTAGATGACCTCCTTAGGTACCCACCAGCCTCAATTATCCTATAACCCTATCAACCTATGACAGGATGAATAAGAACTGTGAGACATCTGGATGTCTATGCAGCTCAGTAGAGCCTCTAGCTACTGCTGACTGAGTCTCTGCTGGAAAATGATAGTGTAGCCATGTCTGTAACAGCATCTCAGATTTCATGCTGTCCTTCCTCTTAGTTCAGCTGTCATTTCTGTCCAAGTTTTTAATTCCAGGCACATCATCTCTAGCTGATGTCTTCGTTTGAGAGGGCTTATTAGCTCGCTTGTGCTAATGCAGCTATGTTTCTAGAGCCCAGCTATTATCTCCAAAGTGCCTTACCATGTGGACGCACCAGTTTGAGCTGGAGTTAGTTCAGGGATCTTTGTACTTGCTAACAGTGTTCACTACCTGGCCCTAAGCTACTGCACAACATTAGTCTAATTTAAAAGGCTAGCATCTGCAGGTCTCTTATGTGATCACTGGAGAGAGGGCGGGGGGCTCCTCCCAAAGGTGTTTCAGAGCATCTGCATTAGACTTCCACGCTGAATTGTCCTGGAACAACCTCATTGGATGCTGTGGATAACAACAGTTGGACATAAGCTGAACATGCACCCTCTTGGCAAAGGTTGTCAACAGTATCCTAGGCTGCATTAGACAGAGCATTACCAGAGGGCCAAGTGAGGTGATCCTTCCCCTCAATTCAGCACTGGTGAGGCCCCATCTGAAGTGCTAGGTCCAGTTTTGGGCTCTGCAGTACAAGAAAGACAAATTTATGAAGTCCAACAAAGGGCCACAAAGATGATGAAGGAACTGGAGCATCTCTGTCATGAATGAGATCTTAAAGTACATTAACTGGACTCCTTTCAGAGGAAACTAAACTCAAAGATACACTCCAAAAGCAGAGCCAAGTCATTCTAACTTTAGAACTTGGTGGCAGCCTTGAGATAGTCCTAAGAAAACTCCCTGTGAAATACTTTTAATACAGACATTGGCTCCTCTGATCATTTCCTCTACAAATCCATTCCTAGTAGGCCACACTAACTGCTAGTGTAGACATAACCTCTCATGGCTGAATAGGAGGCCAAGAGGACTAAACTCATTTAAACGCAGTGCAAATAGTCCCCCAGATCATAATTTCTGACAGGAATATTGCCATGGACAAAGAACAGGCAAGAATAGTCAGTCATTCTAAAAGTTTATGCAGTATAGCCTTCCGGAAAAGGATGAGAAGACTGAATGCCTAATGTTAAAGAAAGATTAAACGGGAAATGAAGTTTAATGGAGCAGTAATAGCTGAAGGCGACTTCAGCTAATGACATGTAAAATTCTCCAGTGCAACACTGGGTAAGACTTACCAAAGTAGTATTTCTGGATTGGCAGGCTTGGCTTTGAAGCAGTGAACTCCAAGCGTGGAAGTACAGGACTTAAAAGGAGAAGCTACTCTTCCCAGAGTCCCATGGAACATGCAGTAGCAGTAGTAGTAATAGTAGAGCTACTAAGCAACAGAAAACATGTGCTCAGCATTAATGGGGAGGGATGATATCAAAAACTGGCACCATGTGGTTAAATTTAAGACAAGAGGATTTCAAAAAGCAACAAAAACAGGAAGCTACTTGAAAAGACCCCATGGGCAAAAGTGAGTACATCAGCTCAGAATGGAAGGTGTGGAAACCTCATCTAACAGAGTCATAGAAAGGAAGCTGAGCCCCAAGTGAAAATTAAAGAATAAATGCAATAAGCAGCTAAAGTGCTGTAATGACCACCTGACCTATTCTTTGGAAAACAGAAATCCACTCAAGGAAAGTCGTGCAAAAGGAGCATAAACAATAACTACTAGAAAATCAAAATGTGCATGGGAAGTTACAAAAGCTAAGAGGAAATTTGAAGAGCAAACAGAAAAAGACATAAAATCAGGCACAAGAAATGTTTAAATGTGTGAAGAACCTTAAGCAAATCACTGTTCGCTGGTGAAATAAAAGAAGTTATTGAAATGGATAATGACATTACCGATAATTAGATTTACTTCTTTGCATCAGACTTCATCCCAAGTGATTTGGAGTGATACACATCTCTGATCTATTTTTGCAGGTAATAAGAGGACAGAATGAGATATTGACAAATTTATCTCCCCTTATGAGATTTAGTAGATAGAATACAACTGCTAGGGTTCGGTTCCTACAACTATTTTAAATGTTAACTTTTTTTTCCTGTTAAAAGTAGAAAATTTAGGAAATAGAGAAAGCATCATTTGCCAAGGGATTTTTAAAGTAACACAGCATCCATATCAAGCTATGTTCTTTCTACACACCTTTCCCTGCTTTTGGCTGGCCAGCAGCAGCATGCACCACTTGGTTTTCTGGAATATTCTGCAGAGTGTGGTAGACAGTTTCATCTGCACAAAAATCCGCTGCACTGTTCTTCAAGAATTAAGACAAAGAGTTACTAATAGAATACATTCTCTGAGGAATAAGAAATGTTAACTAATTAATTGCTTGAAGCCTTAGAAATTCAGCCTTTCATCACTTGACACACACAAGATTTTCACAACCACAGATGCATGCAGTGTACTGTATCAATAAAGAGCAGCAGCAACTTTAGTCCAGTAGGAATGATTGCTCACCATGGGAGAGCTTAAGGGGGAAAACACACTAATTGCCTCACTGTGCACCTTGAACTGCTCTGCTGGAGGCAGAGAAGGAACTGTGGGTTCTTCCAGAGTTAATAAAAGACAAGGCTCGTCTGAACAGTGTCACTAGACACTCTGTTGTTCCTGTGTCCTGCACCGCTAATCTGCTGCCTGAAAATCGGGCTTCTGTGGAATCTGGCTACCTGAAATTATCTACCCCACACTATCTATTTTCCACCACTATCTGGAGGCCACACTTTCAGGTTTTTTAAGAATGAATACAGACTCTTCAGGCTGAAGCTGAATCCAGAGTCCAGCTAGTGCTGGCCTTTCCAGCAATCTCAAAGCAGGCTGGTGGAGAAGAAATCAAAGGCATGGTACTTTCTCACAGGGGCAGAAGCTGCGTGGAGGCCGGAATTTGTTGTTCCCTGTGTGTTCCCAGGTAAGACAGAGAAGCTCTTTTCCTTACTGTACTAGTAGGTTTGTTTGTCACATTACATGAGGAACCACAGAAGAGCACCATAAGCAGTTAAGCTGCATCCGAAAGAGAGACTAGTAAATATGTTTTGCAAATATTTCCTCAGGCAGTTTCATCTGAATCATGCCTGGCCAGACTGGATTTCTGCTGGAGTTAACATAATGATTTGTATTAGAAATTACTAATAGGCCAACTTTCCTTTTATGGCCGACTGTGTTATTAGGAATCAGTTCACTTACTATTACATTTCTCCAGCTATATCCTGGGTCCTCTGCAGATGGTGCTGCAGAGTAGCTGGGACTTGCTCGGAAGTGAGGATGATGGTTGATCACAGTCAGGCAATTTCTATAACCTGAGAATTAGGAAGAAAGAGCAAAGCTGAGTGAGTAGAAAGAAGAGAGGAGGGAAAATCACCAGTGGCAAACAAGTTAACACGCTACTGAGTCTGTCAAAATGCATTTTTCTTATGGCAGCCTTCTAGATAATAAACTCTCCAGGGCCAGGATGTTTTTTATCGGTGGGTTATCCACCACAATCTGTACATAGCTCTGTACACTGCTAATGATGTCCCTAGGCTGGTTTTGTTTGCCTTCATGATGAAAAATAGTATTTGTTAAAATAAAATGTCAGTTAGCGTTATTAAATAGTTTAGTTAATAGAAAAAGGAGGGCCAAGCAGATCACCAAACATAATGAATTATAACAATAGTATATGTGTTAAAAAGGAAAAAGGAACATCATACAGTTCTTATGCGGGCCATTCGTAATACAAGTAAGTATCTAGAATATTGGCTAAAGTGAAGAATAGAAACTGGTAAACACGAACCTGGGCAATACCATCTCAGCTGTCCAAAAATGTTATCATGTCAAATCAACTACAGGGAAAAAATTTCTCAGAATATCTGCAGTGCCAAAAAGAACAATACAGAAGGAGCCCAAGACCTTAGGATGTTTAAAAAAAGCAGAGAACACTGGACTGAGACATTTAGAAGAAATTACACATTCTTTAGGAGGCCACGAGAAGACCTTGAAAGGGGTACATCTACTGTGATTGGAAATTTGGGTGCAACTGTGAGACTTCTAAACATTGAGTTGAAAGTGTTTAAAACCTCTCTTCATTGGCCTGGTAATAGGAATAGGCAAGAACATTTGCGAAAAATTATATATAGTGCATCCTTCAGCCATGGCAGCGGAGCCAAAAACTTTTCAGTAACATCTGAATATCTGGTCCAATCTGTGCCCTATTTACATTTCTGTATAGAGCAGATAAACATGTAAATAAGCTTCCTTGTATGAAAGTCATACTTCACTGAAGATAGTAGAAGTTTTGTTCTGGACTTAGAAGGCTTCTGATGTAGCCTCTCATTTTCCCTTCTTTCCATTTCTATTTATAGTGTAAAATCATCAAGCACAGAAAGATTTTTAATTCTATAGCATTATAATTGCCAAAACCTTGCCTGTACTGGAACAATTTACAGCTTGCCTATATTTTAAGTTTTGTGAAGTGGAAAACTTACTCTAGAAGCCAAAACCCCCACTTTTTTAATAATCATCCAGACTCAAACTACCACTTCTATATAAAAAATATTTAAAATTTATATTTTAATACAAAAAAGTGATTGTGGAAATGAATTTCACCTTTTGGCTTCTTGGTCTTTTTTTTTCTTGCAATGAATTCTTTGTTATATGAATTTATTCACAGCATAATAAAAGGGCATTTTTTCAATTAAAACATTAAGAGCTAGAAAAATAGTTGTTGCGCTGTGGTTATATATACACAGGAAACCAGAGCTCAGTGCACTTAAGTTAGTACCCGGGCGGAAGCAAGAGGGGGACAGTCCAACAACGTCCTTGTACATGCCATACCAGGCAGTGCTAACGGAGGGACTGCAACCCTTCAAATATTCTTCCCCCGTTTCTTCCTCCCAGTGTACCCCTTTACTACCCATTGATCCACCTCTGAGAAATTACTCTCCCACCTAGAAGTCTTAAGAAGTGCTTTCCTCTAAAAATATTAAGTCACAAATGAAATGGCGTTAACAGTTTTATTTTACCTGGTGAATATTGCATTTCAGCATCAGAATGCTGTTGCAGTACCTCTAGCGCATCTTCAAAAGCCTGGCCCAGTATGTCTTGATCAGGACAACTCTGCAAGAACAACATTGTTCTGTCAAGAGTCAGCAGAGACCAGGCTTGTTCCTCCAATATTTGATTAGGTGGAAAAACTTAAATAAACACAGTAATTATGTAGAATATACCTGTATCACACTGTCCTGCTGGAATATACTTTTTGCAGGCAGTTAGACCTTCCCATAATCTTTACTAATATGAGACAGCTCTCAACCCTTTGAGAAGTCTCTTTGAGGTCAATGGGACAACTTATGTGGGTAAAATTACTCACTCGTGAAAATGTTTCAAGGTTCATTTCCTTAATTTGCAGCAGAAGTTTACAGAAAGAGTATTAATGTTATTAGGTTGCTTTACGGTACTCAATACAGAGATATGTATTATTTGTATAGTATGAGTTATGAAGCCAAAATTATCATTTAATAACACTGAAATGTCAAAAAAACATTATACAAGAATTAGGAACTGGTTACTCAGGGAAAATGCTATACTATGCCAGTATAGGAAACCACACTGTGGATTTTCAGAAAATTGTTTATTGCTATTTTAGGACATCTTGTATTTTAATAAAAGCTAAAAGAAAAAATCTGAGTTTACAGAATCACAGAAGGCTTGAGGTTGGAAGAGACCTCTGGAGAGGCATGGAGAGGTTTAGCTAAGAGTTTTCTATAGCTTATTTGAAGCTTTCAGTAATGAAAGAGAATGAAGTTATGGTAGACTTACCATTATTTAGATAGCAAAGCTGGAATCCTGTTTAAAATAAACAATATTTTAAAATTGTGTATTTCAAAATAAAGAATATTTCTGTCAGCACAAATGAAATTAATTGAATGGAATAACTCCAGATTCTTTCCAGTGATGACATAAAAGATACTTAACAATACAGATAAAAGTAATTTAGAATTAAAATGTGATATTTCTAATGAAATTAAATAACTTATACATTGGATATTGTTTTTCACAATTCATACTCTTTTTCATTACTAAAGCTTCCAGCCTCGTTAATACTGTACCTGTTAGATTATTCTCCACATCGTTATAAACATGTTTTAAAGACAGTATGAAGTAAAGATGTGTTTTTGCTGACATTCAGTCTTAATTAGCTTAACTGCTTAATTCCCAAAGAAAATACTGACCTGAATTAAATGGAAGTGTTTAAGTCTCTGGTTTTTCAATGTAATTGAAACAAGCTGAGGTTTTTTGCATAAGGCAGATTAGCATACGACTGTATATGAATATACATAAACTCTCAGAGTAATTATGAGTTCCATAAGCAAATTTAGTTGTTTAATAAGTGGTAAAAATAGACACATTTTCAGTTAGATTAACATGGAATATACTTTGTATACAACTTTACTCAGAAACGATTCCCCAGTAACTCTCTTTGGCACTATATACATTTGTTCCAAATTACAATAATCAGGTCTTGTTACCTTGCAGTTTTTTCTTGCTCTCATTTACAGTTACTTTTTCCAAATTGTAAAAACAATCAACACATCAGTATTTTACTCTTTAAAGGTTTGATCATAGTGCATTCAAAATACTGGAAGCTCTGTTAGTAGTTCCAGTAGATGCAAAACTGGTCCCCGTGTGGATTTTTAAAATGCAAAGAAGTGACAAGATTCTGAAATACAAACAGGAAAACATTTTATCCAATACTCACCATGAATGTTCTAACCTGTTAATTATGCTTCAGATAGGCTAGACTTATTTTAATGTATATTATAAAGTGCTATCAAAACTTGTAAAAGTTTTTTAAACCTTGATGACTGAACATATATGTTTGAGGGATCTCACTGTAAGAAATCTTGGTGATTAACTGACTTCAGTGAAATCGCTGGGAGTTTTCTCCTTGACTTTAGTGCAGCAAGTATGTCACTAGACTGATCTAATTGTATCCTAAAACAAAGAAGGACCAAATCAGTCCTTTAGCTGTAATGGAGGCCACAGATTCATGGGATATAGAGCTGTAGAGACTGAAGACATGAATCTCCTTTCAAAACATTCTAAACTAGTGTTCCCCTGATTTAAATTAATTCATTTTCCTTAAAATGCTTTTGCCTGACTAAAACTCCAAACTGATACGTGGTAATCTTGGCTGAATATCTGTAGTCATTTCTGATGCTTTTCAAAGCCTAAAAAGGTAGAAGTATCAGAAAGGTACTGTAGACTGGCCATATCATTTATACAGCAGAAATCATATTTTTAAAAAGTTACACTTTAGGTAAGTTTAAAAAAAAATCTGAACACTTACCTAGAATTTCAACTCCACATGCAACACAAGAATCAGTCTGGTTTCATAAAAAAATGAAAGCCCGAGTTCCCACAGCAATGGGCTGGCAAAGGGGCTGCATTAAATAGCTGATTTTAGGGAAGTGCTTCAACTAGGGATTTTTTTTTTAGAGTAAAGGTATAGTACACTGCTAGCACGGCCCTTCATTCTGCACAAGAGAATGGTGATTGACACTCAGATAAAACAAAATGTTTTAGCTATTGTCCACACACGCAGATTCTAAGCACTAGGATAGATTCTGTTTGGCTTTGGATCATCCCAACAGAGGTGTCACTGGTATGTTACCAATGTTAATAAGGGCAACAATCCTACATCTCTGATCTGTCCCATACAGCTTGCAGGGGACCTTGAGGTTTTATCTGACCTTCCTAGCTAGTGGAGTGAACCAGATCCTAAAATATGAGCCCTGCATGTTTGAGGGAATTTCAGAACTCTGCTTCAATGTTCAGATTTGTAGCTCAGGCCCAGCTCCGCTCTAAAGCATTTGGTAAAGATCCAGGCTTTATTCCAGAGCTAGTCCAGGATCTAGCTGTAGCTGCTGATTTGCCATACACCTTCTGAGCGACTACAAGCCATGCCACTGGGGCCTACAGGATGAGGGCTCTCTATTTTTTCAGCACAAAGCTTCTTCTTGTTGACATAACCCATCCTGTGCCTTAGATCTTTGCAGCCAATTCAGAGGAACATTCTACAAAATTTCCTCATCACATGCCATGAAACTGCTGTAAAATAGCAATCACCTCTAACCCTGCTTAGGTACACTCCCTCAACCAACAACCATAGTCAAGAATTAGCCTCCACCTGGCTATGAACGCTGACTGCAGGTAATTCGAAGCCAGTGTTTACACCAACTATCATTTCCTAGTTTCAAATGCGACCTGCCTTTTCAAAATACAAACCACAGACTTTCAAAATATCTGATATTCTTTTCTAATGAAATATATTAATATTCAAATGTGGGTTTTTTGGAACTACGTTTCATTTTGTACCATTTCTCTGCTATGACTTGGGGTTATAAAGGCAAATGACCAGTAATAATGCTTTGAAAACAGCAAATGTGACTCAGCACAGATTTGCAGGCCAAATTTGATTACGCGGTTAACTTCCTCTCCATCTGCTAATCTATAATTTGATGCAGTTAACTTTTCTCTTTAATATGGTTTCAGAGTTCACTTCCTTCCTACAGTGGGGATATCTACCAGATTTTAAATTATGAACGTGCTCCAAGATTCTTCTGAAAAGGAACAGCAACATTGGTGTTTTGCACAGTGTTAATGCTCAGCACTAGAGATTACCTTCTGCCTTGAGTCATAGCAGACCCAGTTCAGAAAAACTCCAGTGAAATTAATGACTTTTCTGTATTGTAACACACACCTGAATCTGGCCCAGATTCCTCCCGGATTCCTTTAGATAAACGGTGCACTCACAGAAGCTTTAGTGATGCAACTTAAGCTGCCTACTCCCACACTGAGATCTGAAGTTGGGCAGTTATTATTCTGCCTTCCTGCGTTCCCTGTCCTGCTTGTAGTAGCAGCGGGTGAAAGTTGAGAGATTAAAGGTTTTAACACTATTAAAATGATCAATTTTCCTAAATTAAATTGCTCATTCAGAATATTATCATTTAAAGTAAGAGGTTACTTGCCAGGCAAGCCAACGAAATACTTGTTTTCCAAGGAAATGGGAAGGTACAAACACATAGTACTGAAATGAAAGCAATCATTGTCTCCTAGGGTGGATCTAGACTCCCCACACCATTTCAGATCAGAGGCTCAGTCTGATTCCCTGTGAAGGCCACAGGGGCCCCGAATGGGCAGTTTAAGGTCCAGCTCAAGATGGGGAGCCATCTAACTCCTCAATGAATCCCAGTGCAGTCAAGCCAGTGTGCATGTTGGCCTCTGCCAAGAATTGTCCTTACAAAGTCTGCTTTGCTTTCTTGCATTCAATGGGAAGACTAATTCCAGCAAAAAGGTTGAAAAAGAGAACTTACTATTCAAATTCTAGTGTCTGAAACAACTGTGTGTGGTTTCAAAAGTTGAGTCTCAGGGAGAGACAACAGTATAAAGTTCTTCGCCTCCTTCATATCTTAAAAACAAACTTCCAACAACAGAATGATTAAGTTTTGGAACTTTCTTTCACCTTTGCTTTGCACTAAAAGTTAGTTCAGAATAATGATACAGAAGAAGCATTTTCACTTGTCTCTGTATGAAAGACACAGAATTAAATAATGTATTACAGTACTTGTCTCAGAGAGCTCTAGAAAGCATGAAGACTCTTGTATGAGGCATTGTCCAAATGTAGAATAAAAAACAGTCCCCCTTCCTGAAGGAATGTAAAATTTGAAATAGTAAATTTCCCCACCAGCCATTTGTAGCTTTCTCAGAATTTTCTGAATGTCAGACAATTTGTAATTGCCCAAATAACAGACAGACCACTTAAGACAGAAGGGATTGCACAGGGAAAAGAAAAAGGTTGTAGAAATGATTCTGTCACAGGGAATCACTTGCCCTGCACAGAGGAGTCTGCCTATCAGCTAAGCAGTCTTCGGAAATCAACCAGCAAGTGGGATGGCCGCAGAGAGTTTCTGTCCCTGGCCTCAGCAGACCCCTCCATCACCCCTCTTCTGGCCATGCAGCTCTGTAGCGATCTCTCTATCCTGAATCCTCATGGCTTTAGATTCACAGTAATTAAACAACCACAGATGCTGCCTCCATGAAAGTGGACAAGTTGAGAGACTATGTGCCTGTCCTCCCCTCCTTAGCCTAACCGCATTGATCAATGGACCTTCAAACCTCTGCCATTATGCCGGGTCTGGTCCATTGCATTTAGGCTTCCAAAGAAACCGGGAAGTTTCTTGCAGCAACAACGGGACCTTTTCTCTACGCAAGAGCACAAATCCATGTGTGGAATGATCTCTTCTTTTACATGTAGAATACAGTGATTATCCCAGGGAAAGTGCTTCACAGCTAATCAGTTTGGAATCTGAACATCAAATGAGTGGGCTCAGGAAACACCTGAATTCGTATTCCCAGCTCCAGACTACAGTGAAACCTCTCCTTTAAAAAAATAGAAATAAATGCTGCTAACCACCAGCTATATGATATTGTTTACCATGGTGCTGGTCAGATATTTTAGTGTCAAACAGGGACAAAAACCTTAACTGGGAACATAAAAGCCAAAAACCCAATTCTGGCACCATATCAGATAAGTAAATCAGATAATGTAACTGGGTCTAAAAATTCTATTTGTGCTGGAAGATTTTAGTCTATGCATTTCAACAAATACAATGATTTATTCAAATACCAGAATATGAGAATACATCATAAACTATAACTCTTCACCTGCCTTATGAATTGTTCTGTAAATGGCAATGAAACTCTCTGTAATGCAAAAAATATCCTGTTTTATTGTAATAGGTGGAGTTACAGTATCAGTTGCTTAGCTGGCAGAAATTGGTGCAGAGCCACCAAAGCCAAATGATCCCTGCTGATCTGTACAAACACAGGTTCTGGCTCAT